ATATCGCCAAAGGCATCTGTCAGCAGTTAAAACGACATCATGGACACAGATTACTCAATTAGTATTTTTCCTTCAACATGTTCTACAGTCAAAAGTGGAATGACTTTCAACACTGGTTCAAAAATGAACCTTTTTCCCAGATTTTTTTTAAATACATGTTTACTTCCTGAGAACATTTGCACCATATTTTAATGAGGTTTCCTTTGGGAAATGGTCGAATAAATTCCTTTGTCTTTATGGAGCTTAGCGAGGTAACCAGAACTAAATTCTTAATGCACTGATTGCAACATCAAGGTCTGATTCAGATTTTGTCTGGTTCTGATTTTCTTACTTATATGACCATAATTGACAGTGAAACATTTCTTAAATATTTTTTTAATGGAATTTCAATGTAATGTTCATCATAAAACAATTACTTTATATTAGACTGACTATTGAAAAAAAAAGTGTGAAAACTGCACAAGGTCACATGACCACCTCTCATTCTCATCTGAAGTAAAAACTTGCGTCACTCTCTTCGTCTGCTTTCTCCCAGACTTCCTGAATGAACTATGAATGACCCATCAAATATCTACAATTGGCAACCGTTTCATTAGGCTGCTTGTTGTCTCCTACCTGTCTGTCTCTGTGGGTTTATCATCAATATGAATGAATCTACTATTTCTTGCAAAATGACATGACTCAAGGCAGATCAACATTTCTGTGCTCACACACTGAGGTTTAATCACATAAGTTTCCCACATAACAAAGAATACTACGGGAATATTAATGAAACAATATTGCAACATACTGTACTCCCCCAGCCCAGGGGAGAAACAGAAAGACAGAGACGGAGCCCACATGTATATGGATAGCGCAGATGTGACGCAGAAACTTGTAGAGATTCTTCCGAGCAAGGGGAACAAGTGCCTAAAAATGGTCTTTGTTTATCGGGTATGCAGGGACGCTGGAAGCCAGTTTCAGATTACTGAGAAAAGTCATTCCAGTTGATGACATCGTTTTATTAAGTAGGCCTGTTATAAATACTTGGAGTATTAACAGCTGCCCGTGCTGATTTTAGAACATCTTACATTATCAGGTTGTAGTTTATGATATACAGGGCAGTGAGCGGGACGTGCAGACGCACAGACAGATGTGCACTCAGCGCACATTGGAGTTATTTAGGAAGCATCAGTCATCATAAAGATGACAGTCTGAAGTGTTGAGTCACCAAAGAGCAGATGATCAATTCAAGCTTGTTTTCCTTGTCTGTCCATGGATACGCACAATCGCACTCTTTTTTTCTTTCTTTTTTTTTTGATTTATCTTATCTTTTTTTTGCCTTTATATTAGAGATAGGACAGTGGATAGAGTCAGAAATTGGGGGAGAGAGAGAGGGGAAAGACATGCAGGAAAGTAGCCACAGGTCAAATTCGATCTCAGGCCACCGGCTAACCACTAGACTACCAGGGTCCCCATTCCCTGACTCTTGCTCGCCCGTGTAGTGTGAACCCACATTTTCTTTAACTGCATGTTTTGTATGTTTTTTTTATTAGCTGTGAAATAAGACGTGACATAAAAAAAAGTTGTAGAAGTCTTGGACGATGCAACTGTCTGCTTTACATTATAAGAAATATCATATTGTCAACATCGTTCAGTGAAATCCACAGTGGTTCTCGTTGGGTGGGTAATCTTCACAAGAACCCTTTGCATGTATACTTACTAAAGTGTTCACATTATACTCAGAGGCTCTTAAACCAGCTTGCAGTGTTCAGTGGTCATTCGGTGCCACTGTCAGGACACATGACTCAACTGTACATTTTAGGATTACACGTGTTGGCATAGTGGTGTGGAGAATTCCCCACTGTGACCTGTACTCCATTTACACAGCTGTCCAAATACAGAAGTCTTTCACGTTAAATGACTTTCTTTCCCAAGGAAGACTAAAGGTCATTTTCTTTGAGGTGTTCAACCTGTTGCATCACATCAGCTACAGGTTTTGCAAGACTGGAGGTGCATGACTTCCCTGAAAAGCATAAACTATCACTTTTGCTTTTGCTACTTTCTCATCGGAAAACTCAAACTGGGTGTAAGGTTCACTACACGCCCCTGGTCCCCTGTGGAAGAGAAATGAATTCAGGAAATTGCTTCCACCCAGAGAGAACCGTACTTAACAAAAGAGACCTGATTGGCCCTGGTGCCGCAGTCCTGATATTTAGATATGCAATCTCTTGCTGATGGGACAAAGTGAAAGTGAGGGAGCGTGAGAGAACAAGCAGATTAAGAGAAAAAGGTGTGTTTTGTTTGTTATTGAAGAGCTGTCAAACGGATGAAGGAACTGTCAGATCTGTATGGAGGAATTTTCTGATCACACCACAAATAATTTCATCGTGGGACTCACCCAGGAGAAAATCTGCTTCCAAGATGCTTATTAGATTTCTATTATATGTAAAGTGTGGGAAGGAATTCAGCTTGGGAGTGACAGTTTATCAGCCCCAATGACACATGCTCCGAGGGAAGATATGGAAAGGAAAGCTTAAAGGGGCCATATTATGCTTTTTCTGGTTTTATCTGCTCTTTAGTGTGTTTTCCAAGTGTCCTGTGCATGTTTAGGCACATCGATGTGCAAAAATTCAAAGTCCACGTAAACGCGGCTTCTCCTACGTCCTCCTGTTAGCTGTAGCATTAGCTGCATGTAACGCTCGGTTCTAGCCCCCCTCGAAAAAAATTGCCAGTGTGACGTCTTGTCAGTGTGAGATCACTAATCTAAGCCCATTGGCTCGTTGTGGCAAGCCCAGCAGCTCATGTTGCACGCCCATTAACTTCTGTAGCACGTCCACAATATGCCGTAGCCTGCGGTAGCACAGTAGTGCTAAGGTGCTAATGTTTTTGCTCCCCTCGGAGCCAAAGTGGCTGCATTCCCAATATGGTAAAAGGCGGGACATTTCCGAGAACTGTGCTGAGCGACTGACCAATTACTGCAGAGCCGACAGGCCGACCAATCAGATCAGACTTGGCACACATGGGGACTCTGAACGTGGGCACTATAGAGAGAGAGTCAGAAGCGAGCCGGTGCATGGAGCGGCAGTTCATGAAAACAGACACTTTTTTATAACTTTAGCTATTGTGAACATACTTTAGTAGGTACATAGATTAAATATATGAACCCCAAAAAGGGCATAATATGACCTCTTTAATTCTGACTTCCTGTCATCTGAACATTGGATGGAAAGTTACCAAGTCAAGGTCATCACCTGTTTTGTTGTTTATAGTTTCACTGGATGTATGCACCCTCTTTGCATTGAGAAGAGCATGGGCATTCTGCAGCTATGTCAAATCTGTTACATACATTTACAGTAATGGAGATCTAGAGTTCCTTCCATTCTGGAGTACCCCCATGGGACCTTAATACTAATTAGGTAGGCAATGGGAGGACACTAATATTACATAAATATGTGCATTATGCTGTCACAACAAGTTCCTTGGTTTAAATATTTAAGAAAAGTAAACAATTTATATTTGCGGGAAATTGCTCCAAACTCTGATCTCCATCTCTCATTAATTCAAATGTGATCAAAGACTGTATAAAGCATGGACGTTGTCTCAGTGACGTCACCCCTTGGTTACTGAAGAGGCATTTTGAAGCCAAAGGTTGGCGGTTACCACATTAGAATTGCAGGCTCTACTTAACTTTTTAGTCAACTAGAATCAGACAAGGAAGAGATGGAATGGAGGTTGAGAGATCAGTCAAAGCGCCCACGCCCCTAATTATGCAAATTTGCACAAATCTCTTATCCTCGATATAATCCAAACGGATAGAAATAATACAGAAAATTCACACACAGAAGGTTTTTACCATAAAGAAGTGAGCTGTTGACTCTCTGTTGGCAGTAAACATGTTTATTTTTGCTGTAAAAAAAATTCCTTGGCTTTTGGAGCCAGTCCTCATGTGGACACTTGAGGAACTGCATTTTTGTTTGCACTTCTTCGGCTTCTTTTTTTAGAACCAGAGGATGCCACTTGAATATCACCAACACCAACATGGCCGTCACCTTGGCAATTTTTACATTTAATTATAACATTTGCATTCATTCTTTTCTGTAAATATTACCTATTGTTTACAGGGAGTGCAATATAGAACATGACTTTTGCTAGCTTTATGTCTTTGCAATTTTAGTTACTCCTCATACAATACTACATTTCTCTACAACAAGGGTTGCACCTAGCTTCCCTCGCCGTTGTTAAGATGACAAGCCTCTTTTTGTAGACTGATTCTCCTTTCCTTTGGCGTCTTCACAGCGACCTCCATCTTTGGGTTTCTATATGATAGATTCTTCATACCATGCATCTTTACGTTATTGCATGCCTGCGGTCATCTGATATACTCCTTAAGATAGAAAATACTTAAAATTGGATCTGGCATAAAATAAATGTTAGGTTGTGGAAAAAATGCAGTTGCGTGTATGCTTTTATTAAAGGAATGTAACATCAGGAAGAGTGGAGAAACAGAAGTACTTACACAAAGAAGACAATGATGAATATCAGAAACTTGGACAGCAAAAACTTGATAATTTGCCCTTCCTGTCCAGACAAAGAATTGATGATTGTTTTAACAGACTGCTTATTGCATTTAAACTAAAAATAACTGTTAAAGTTTAAGTCATTTTGGTGTGAAATACTGTACTGTGGCCCTGCAGATGGAAATGTGATTTACAGACATTCCTTAAACTACATGCTCCTTCCTCTCCTCGTTTGCCATATGGCATTTTTTCATATCCTCCCTCTCTTTCTTTTATATTCTCTCCACCCTGTTAATGTTGTTCCAGGTGGTCTACATGTACTCAATTACAACAAAAATAAATATCTCCCCAGAGACTTTTCTTGCAGCATGTTATGTCTTCTTTCGGCCTTTATTGCTTACACTGCTCACTCCACCACCCTCCGCTCCCCGTTTCCTCCTCCTGAAGTGTTTCCATGTCCTGACTCCCTCTTTTTTTTTTCCTTCTGCTGATGTCTTTCAGACTGTTTCTGAAAAGCCACAGTGGGACTGCAGGCAGACAGAGCAGTCTGGTAATCCACGGAGCAGACTTCAGCACCAAGGACATGGACAACGACAACTGCATGTGCAAGTGTGCCCTCATGCTAACTGGTGGTAAGTGCAGTCACTCAAGACAATAAGACCTGGACTATCTTATCTCCTGGTGTCAGAATATTTCACTGTATCACTGTAATGATACGATATGGTGTTGAAAGATGAAGGCGATGCGGAAGTACAAAATTCTGCAGTTCATCAAGTGACCACTTGAGGCTGGCTGCAGAAGCCCCCAAAGTCACATACACACCCATTCAAAAAAGCCTCTTTTTTAAAGGCTTTATATGTGATTTATTTGATCCAGCAGATGTCGCCCTTGAGCACCAGCATGAAACCAAAACAACTCATGCTGCATTGCTGTGTTAGCATGCTAATGCTAGCGATCTTTATTATGCTCGTATTGTCACACTGCATGTAAATTTACCTGAAATGAGCGTGATCTAGAAACACAGTTAAGCAGTGAGTACAGTATGTTATTCTTCTTTTCTCTAGTCCCTCAATTAAACAACTTTTATACACGAGGGGAGGAGTCAGCCGGCCGTCCCGACGATGTAAACAAACTGAAGATAGGAATCGGAAAACTCTGAAAGCATCACAGACAGTGGGACTCGGGTGTTACACCCATTGTAGACAGTCATGACTCACAGAGTTATTTTCAGAGGATATACTTGATTTCTACATTTAAGTGTGAATAAAGCATATAAAGACTTTAACAGCAAAAATGAACTTGTTTACAAGCTGGTTGGGGGGGGTGAATTTTTTTGATAACTTATCATAACCCATAGCTGACCTGATTGACGGGCTGGGATGGTATAGTTGTTTGTCAGGAGGCTTAAAACCTGCCTCAGCTCCAGTCGTTGACTGAAAGTTAGGTTGACTTAAAGGTAAGTTGAGACAGCATTTCCAGCATGGCGACCGCCATGTAAGGGCTTCCAAAGCCCCCTTCAGTAACCAATGGGTGACGTCACTCAGGCTTCTTCCAGTTGTATATACAGTCTATGGTTGGGAACAGGTTCCATCACTGTCTTTAAAACCAAAAGAATTGGCTAAAAGAAGCTAAAAGAGTTCCAGAGAACTGAGGGATCTAAATACATTAAACAGTGATGTTCTCAGTGGGTTTCTCACAGAAAATGACAGCTTCTACATCAAATATGTAATCTCATAAAAAAAAAGTTCATATAAGTATATTGAGGCTTTAAAACAGGACTGATTGTCCTCACATTCTCCTACAAAATTCATATCAGAAATGTGTTTTTGATCCCAGATCTCAACCACTAACTTGGAGAGCACAATTTTAATATATTCCATAGATGTCCTGTCATGGGTAAGCAACCCAATGTGTTTTAAACAGATTGCCCCTTTTCAGCATCTGTGTCTATATGGCAACACTGAGACAACCAAAGCAAGTACAATACGTTTGCTTTTATGAGTTTAACATGATGTAACCACTTTAACATTAATTTTCTTTGATTGGCTTTATGACCAACTCCACAATGTTTACTGCCCAGTCATCAGTTTCAGGTCATTATATCCCAACCTACTCTTGCAAGACATGGGCTAACATGGCCACTTCGACATCTATCTGCACCTATTATGGCGCGTTCTGACCCTCCTGGTTACACTGTAGTTGGGAATGAACACATTGTAAAAAGTCCCTGGGCGCGGCCCCAAGTGTCAGAGAGATTTAGAATGACTCCGCTTCTCCTGCTGTGTAAGTGGAGTCCGGTGACCCTCACTGTCACCTCATGGCAGCTCGATCGCTGACCTGGTACTAATCAAGCATTTCTAAGTGCAGATTTAACATCAGCATTGCCTCTTAGGTCATCGTTGATGCTGAGGTTTAAAGGGGACTGGCATCTAATCATTGGTCAACACCCCCTTCTCTGCTTGATTCATAGCCTGCCTACGGCCACAGCCACAAAGAGGAGGCCATTACGAGTCAATGCTGGTCTGAACCCAGCTCTGTGACTGTATATACGGTATATCATTTGATTTATACCCTGAGTTTAAAACAGCAGGGCTGACATCAAATGATGTAAGTGTCTGAAATATACAGAGCAAAATACTTCTTTGCTACATTTATGAGGACGGCTGCAGCCTGCCATGTTAGGACTGAGGAGGAGGACCCACACATCCTGTAATGGATCTGTTTTCCCAGCAACAGAACATACAGTAGGGGGATAAGGCACTGACAGAAGGAGGCAGGGGGGGATTTCTCTATCAGAAGAACGAACTGCAGAGACGATTTTAAAAAAAAGGGAAGACATCCCCTCTTTTTTTACAAGTCGAGTTAAAATATCTGGCCTGGAAATAGAGAGGATACCGATCGTAAATCCAAAAAGATAGCTGTTGTGCACGATGAATGTTTATATGAGTGTGTCGGGGGGTGTGTGGTCTGTGGTTTATCATCAAGAGAAGGACGGCTCGTTGGACACATGCTGAATTCTGCTTTGTGGTCTTCGAGGGGAAAACTCTGTCTCAATAAAATACAACAGCAGTTTAGAAAACACTTTGTGTCACGTTATTTACAAAATTGAATCAACTGCAAGACTCACAATCAGCCCTCAAAAACTCTCTTTTCGAGGTTGTTAAATATTCCTTAATACGGTGATTGAATCTTTTTATTTGTTCATTATTTTTGATGTTTTGATTAAGTTGCTTTCAGTCTTTCAGTATCATTTTTAAAGCTGCGCTGTTTTTTTGGCCACTAGGGGGCAATATGAACAAACGATAAGTTGACAAGAGAAACATATTGCGATTTTAAAAGGTAAGCATAAAGCCATCTTGCAAATTACCAATTTTCCACTCAAACGACTCCTTAGAAAGGAATTTGGTTCTTAAGCCGCAAAACTCTCCAACACTTTGATAAGCGACTCACTTGTGTGTGTCTGTTGTTGGTTGCTAGCCAGTTAAAGAAGTGAGACTGAATCTGAACTCAAATATGGCGGCCGATAAATCTTTTTGTTTTAATTTGCTTATACATTATAGGTCTGAGTATCTGAAATTGAATGAAATTGGTTTTAGAAAATCTTCTTTTTAGCGCTTACTGGCTGAAAGTAGCCACCTGTTAGCCAGTCAAAGCAGGGGGACTAAATCTTAACTTCAGTTCAAAACAATAATCTAAAAGGTGTTTAAACATTCAGAAACTTCAGATTGGGAGTTTTCATTTTATATTTACTCATTCAATACATGCAAAGCTTTAACCTTTCCTGATTATGGACCGTTTACCAAACTGTTAGGTGAGTGTCTAGATATTACTCAGCATTTGGTCCCATTGTCCTTAACTTTCATTCAAGAAATAAAAAATATACAGGATATTTTAAAAAAAGTTGACCGCTTGCAATGGCATATTTGGTTCCCTCTGGCACCAGCAACTTGAAATGTTGTTATGTAGTTTGAGATGCACTTTGTTTGAGGTCATTTTCCATGCTACAGTATATTGTGTACAAGTATATGATGAAGCTGCAATCAATGTGAAACTCATATGTGGGATCACTGCCAGCAACGAGCGCAGAGCGTCACTCCTGATTGCTGACAGGTCTTGGGAAATGTCACACGGTGGTCAATGTCGGTATGCCGATGGAGGAGAGAGGGGAGCGACGCCATTTGTCACTAAGAAACTTGACACATGCCATGCCATGCATATGTTCTTTAACAGACTGCATCATTGAGTGTGTGTTCCTGACTCTCAGATAGGAGAGCTGACACATTAAAAGGATGAAGCAGATGGTATGTTTAGGAAATGTCAATCATCTGAAGTATTAAGCAGCATTTGTTATTATGAAAAGGACTGAAAAGGGAAGCCTGCTTCTGCCACACAGTCGAACAAAAAAAAGGAGGCAAACGGCAAACCAACAGGTGTTGCAGCGATGGAAGATTGCAAGTGAACTGGTTCAGATAAAACTGATTCTACCCGACCTAAACCCCCTCAGCATTTTTATAATAAGCTCCACGAGAAGAAACGTGATAAAACTAGGATAAATATTGGAGATGCTTCTGAAAAACGGAGAGAGGTTAGCACTCAGAAGCTGCCTAAACACTGAAGCTTCTGTGTCCGTGATTTGGCAACTTGCGTGTACATTGACTCTAGGGAGGAAGGGAGCAGGAGGAGACTGTTCTCTTCGATGTTTAGAATTTGGACTGCAGTACCCATTTTCAACACTAGGTGTCAGAGTTACACATTGCTCCTTTAACATGAAAACATATAGTTTAAACCAAAATAAAAACTAACGTCCTATGACCTTTAACTTTTTGTGTTTGGTTTTGTTTTCTGATTTTTTAGCAACACTCATCCTTACTTATTTTAAATCACATGAATTAAGATAGAATTTGCAAAATATACATAATTCAACAAAGCAGAAGAGAAATATAGGGATAACGTTTTTAAATAAGTAATACATCTTTTAATATTCAATAAAGGAAGGGACAGGCTGCTGTCTAAATGTACGGAGGTTTCATAGTGGATATTAATGGGCAGGTTGATTTACAGTGTCAGATGATACATTGCTGCTTGTCTTTAATGACCTAGAAGTATGTTGGGGGGGACTTACATTGAGGTGCTAAACCTTTTAGATTGTAGGAAGCACTACAATATAAAATGTATTGACAAAGACATTGTAAGTAAATGTGTTGTTAAAATGTAAAAAAAAAAAAAAAAAAACATCTTCTTGCATATTTACCTGTTCTCTGAAGCTCTGGATACCAGATATCACTTTTGGGAATTATGCAATGTGTTACCTTTGAAGCAGAACAAGGCTCCCATACCACTCACTGTTCCCGAGCTCCTGTACATGCACGCTTTGCTTTAAATAGAAAGAGGTATCGAAAGTGTTCGGCAACAGGTACTGGCGTTGCCAATGAACCCTGTGACAGTGACACATTGAGCAGATAGCAGGGAAATGGTGTGTGAACCAGTCAGTGCCATGGCCCTGTTGGAGGGGCCATGGGAAACTTCCGACCTTTATCAAGGACAAAACATATCGTTGAGGTTACTTTTTAAAAGACATCAAGCCTTATTTGTCCCCCGTTAAAAACAAAACACAACATACAAGAAAACTGGTGCCATCTTGTAATCCTAACATTAAATCTTTATTTGTACTTGTTCTCTGTCCAGGTTGGTGGTTTGATGCCTGTGGCCCGTCCAACCTTAACGGCATGTACTTCACTCAAGGACAACACGTGGGGAAGTTGAACGGTATCAAGTGGCACTACTTCAAGGGTCCCAGCTACTCGCTACGAGCCACCGTCATGATGATCCGCCCCTTGGACTTCTCCTAGTCTTTCTGAACTTGTGAACTTTCAGCATCTGAACGGCTGTGTGTGTGCAGCACATTAAGGGGGGGGGGGGGGGGGGGGGGGGACGCTTCCCATTTCATCCTCATGTCTCATCTCAATTCGCTGGCCATTGGAAGTCGTCCTATAAATCATTTCCTGGAACTGCGCTGATGCTGCTGCTGCTGCTGCATTACAACCTTTCCCCTCAATAGACTGAAAAACACTCATGAAGGGGGGGGGGGGGGGGGCAAAGACATTATCCACATCCACATGAATTGATATCTGTTCCCAAGCAGATTCACAAACTTGACCTTGTGTGTGAGGATGAATGTGTTCAGGTGCAGAATTTTAAGCTCACTATGAGGCCGCCTTGAGTGAAAATGTAAACACATTAACATCTTCTTCACCTCTTTCCTCGGGGGCCTTCGTTGAGGGAAAATAAAACAAGAACTTGTAATCTCTTGTATGGAAAGTAGCACTGACTCTGAAACTGCAGGACAGAACTTTTTTTCTGGAAGGAGACGGAAGAGATCAAATGCATTTTTTTTGTATTGATATGTTGCCAACAGAGCACAGCCCATTAATATTCAGAATGTATTATATATTGTTTTTTAGTATCATATGTGTTATCCCAGTTGTATATCCAAAAGTGAATAGATTGTCTTTTGTACTGTACAGCGTGTACTTATTTCTGTCTGCGTTCTGTTTTGATCACACTCTCTGTTTGAAGGTGACCTTGTAATTGAAGTGATTTGTAATAGTTGTCGGGTCACTCGCAGTATTTGCTGGCAATTTACACACTAGCCTTCCTGACAGTGTGTGTGATTATTTTTAGAGTTCAAGACGTGAGGTTGTTTATTGGATTAGATTCTGGACTGTCTTTGACTTCTTTTTCTTTGTCTTTCCTATTGGCTGACAAGCAGCTACTACCCGCCAAGGTTCAGATTGTGAGTGATCCCTTATATCTGCTAAATATGAAAAACAAGAATATTCATTCAGATGAAATTAGAATGTAATTTTTAAATGTTGCAGCTGTGTACAAGTGGGGGGAAGAGTATTAACGTGCAACGAGTAATGCTTATTTTCAAAAATTCCCAGAAATGATCGGTTTATTATTGTGTGTTATGATAAAGTACACGATCATGATGCATATTCAGAAAAATGTTAATGCTCGAATAAAGCTGGTGTCCCAAATGTACAAAAGTACGGTGGTCTACAAGGGAAAAAATCTGCAATTGCCAAAAATGTTTTTTTTTTAAACATTTTTAGAAGGAACTGGCTGCAAGACAGGAACAATAATTTAAAATCACATGCAAAAGTCCAAAACTAGCGCCCCCTACAGGCCCTGTTTCAGAGAGCAGGCTCAGCCAAGTCTGAATTGGCTGAGCTGGGAAACTCTAAATTTGTGGTTCCAGAGCAGCTGATTTGCGTTTGGTCAATTAACTGAGTATGTTCACTCAGGGTTCAGCAGGAAAAGCCAACATTCAAGGAGCCCAGATACTAAAATTCAACATGGCAACAGGTGACAAAAAGAGGTCTACGTACTTTACCCTTCTGGAATTAGAAACTTTGATGTTGACATTCAACGAGTATGAACATGCAGCGGCCATGGAGGGAGAAGTGGCCTCAGAGAAAACTGCTGATGGAGTCTGTCTGTAAGTTAGAATGTAATCTATTCATTTCATATTAAGTCACACTTATAGGCTAATATCAAAGGTGAAAACTTGCAGGTGAAAAAAAAAGAATATTTACAATCCAACGGGAGAAAAACAAACATTAAAGTATCCCAAAATTAATTATAAAAATATAGTTCAAACAAAAGGGTTAGGCATAAAAGGCTCATGGTGGATCTTACATCACAGGTGATTTGACATTTCAATTAGCATTAGCTTTATCCCCAACATAAAGCTGCTTTCACATACATACATGTCCTCTCACTTTTACCCTATTAAGATAATTAAAAGTAACTATCTGCAGAGTAATAACTCAGAATAGTTGCCTACCTGTTGTTCAACATGCATCACAGATTATATTAAAACAATCTGAATTTCTATTCAGACAAACGATGAATCTTCACCAACATGCGTACTGAATGAACGGATGAGAAAATGAATCTGCAATTCTGACTCTGAAAGAGGAGACGGAGAGAAACTCTAAAGGTTCACTGAAGAAAACCTGCCCCGATAAGATTAGACTCACAGACTCTGTTGCCATAGTAACAGACTCAGAGCTAAAGTCTCTCTTCCTGAACGGGCTTGGTTCGCCCTCTTTCTCAGAGTTGAGTGAGCTCCCTTTCTTAGGGCCCTGGAGCACTTTAATAGTGTTGCCTGGATGTGCGGTGTTTTTCCGTTGTGTTTGTTATTTTGTGTTTTCTTCGTTTAGTTTTTTACATTTTCAAGGATTTCATTGATTTAGCATTTTGCATCACCTTATTTGTTGTTGTTCCACATTTCTGCCGTTGTTTTGAACTTCTGTATGCGTTTTTTAAAATTGGCATTGTTTCTGAAAGCAGCTCTTCTCTCCTGGAAATCTTTGTAACTGTTGCTGTATGTTTGCCCTTGTGGGCCACCGTACTTACCTTAAAACAATGTGGTGTTACTAAAGTCTACCTGTAAAGGACTTATATATAAAACTACCTTTTCCCGGTTTCATCATGACCTCTCACCTTTCTCACAAAGAGCAGATCCTCCACAAAAAAATGAAATCCAAACTATTTTTCTCAGACATCGACACGACACAGCTTTAACATCCAGCCCGTTTCTGTTTCCCATCAACGCAGCCTTAAGAGAGAAAAAAAAGAAGCTGGGATTTGATATGAAGCATGAAATTAATGATTCCTCCAAGTGATCCGTGTGAACACGTATTTCATAACTTCCAGCTTACAACAACACGCAGTGTTTACTGAAGGTACATGTGGCAGGAAGATAAAGTGTATCTGGAACTTGTAAAACTACAATTGACATGTTTATTAGCATAGTTAACATTGTATAATTTAAAGTGTGTGTATGTGAAGTAGCCTTCCTGAGGAAAAAGCTCTTCTTCTTTTCTTTTTTATTTTCCCGCTCTTTGACTCTGCCAGGAGTTCAGTGGTGTTTTGAAGTTGAGCATAAAAACATGGAAGTTAAGATAATAACCCTGGAGAAATGTGCCTTTGATAACTCTGCTTTTACCTCATTAAATTCCAGATTTGCAGATTTATTTAAACATTTTTTTTTTGTAACATGTGGTCAGTGTTGTGTTGCTAGATTAAATAAAGGAGCATGTGATGCACTAATGTTTTCAATCTGCGTCGAGGCTGCACCTTTTGTGCCAAATTGATGCGAGGAGGATTTCAAGTCTTGCTTTCCCAAGTTTGGCTTCTCTTAACGTCGGCCTATAATCCGACATGCTTTAACTTCAGCTTCCTTTCATGATAACATCTTCGACATTGTACGTCATGCAAAGGAGCTTATTGTACAGAAAGACATGAGATAAATCCTTCAGATAAACAGACATGCTTTCTTCTACCAAACCAGATGGTGCAAACACAAAAAAAAACACAAAAAAAACTCCCTCTCCACCCAGCGGTGGAGTAAGCTGTTGTCTTGAGGTTGTGACTCGCTCGCTTGCTTGCTCGCTTATGGCAATGACAGATTGCCAAAGTGTCAAACGATGCTGTTGGAACCCATCGTGTCTCTCCATAGTTGACATTCCTGGGCCTAATCAGAGGTTAAACAAATTACTGCAGCCTGCAAAACCGCTGCGCCTCCTTCAGCGGCCGCGCTGACCCGACACCCTGCGTGGAATGTGTTCTTTAGAGAGTCCGAAAGTGTGAAGAGAGTCCGCACAAACCGGCAAACACCTATGTGGGTCTTAAGAGTTGTCCTTTTGTTGGTGTGATGACAGGGTGTGCCAAGAACCACTTCTGAACTAGGGGAGGGGGGGGGGATAGTTTTGTCTCCAGTGGGTGCACAGGATGTCCAGCAAAGTGGTGTTTCACTTGTCTTTTCTATCAGCGCACGTACGCACACGAGCCCCCCCACAAAGCCCTCACATCCACAGCCAGGTCACTCTGCTGAAAACGGATCCTTTCCTGTACACTGAGGAAGAGCTGAAGGAAGGGGGAGAGGGTAAGATCCCCTGAGGGAAAGCGGAGGTCCAAGCTGCACGAAGAAGAAGAGCTGTTGGACCCCGACCAGATCAGATATGACAGAGTACAGATCCTGCAGTATGAACACTGAGGACCAGTGGAACCCCCTGAAGAGAGACCACCTGCTCATATTGACATGAATGAAAACACAGCAAGAGGAAGGAAGAGTTCAAATACAACATCTTTCTCAAGGAATCCTATTAAAACCTTGACACTGTTAAACAAGCTCATTTCTAGTAGGCCCATGATTAAGAGATCTGCACCAGCCCAAACTATAAATCGTTATAAACGATAATGTGTGTGTGCAGAAAACACCAAGATAATGTTTCTGTAGTTGTGTCGAGACAGATTAAAGGATTTAGTGTTGTAGTCAAGACCACACTAACTGAGACCAAGACATACCCCGAGACCAGAGTGTTCTGAGACCAAGACAAGACAGTAAGGGACCGAGACCAGGACCAAGGCAGGATGAGACCGAGACAAGACCAAGACCATAAATATCACTGAAAAATCATCATCTTGTGTGTAGCGGGCGTGTCCCTTACTCACCGGAGGATAAAAATCAAATTATGACTGAATTGAAGTTTTTTGTTCTTTTAGAAAGGGGCGTTTTCTTTTCCATCAGTGGTGATGTTGACCGGTCTTCATTTAAAATCTGGGGTCCGCCCAGTCTGAGACCAAGATGAGACGAGTAAAAATGCTTTTGATTCCGAGCTGAGACCGAGACCTTCAAAAAGTCCCATTTGGAGTACTACAACACTAGATAAAGGTTTAATCCTCTCTAATTTGAGCCCTTGTAAAGTAAAAAGGAATATAAATGTGATGGTTCTACAAACATACTGTTCCGCAGACCCTCATGTTCGGTATGTTAGAGAATAATTTTAAGGAATTGAAGGCTACCAGCACTCTCTGTTTTCCTTGATGGGTTAGG